TAGAGAGAACAGTGCTGGAGACCTGGAGAAGGAGAGCAGAGAAGACGTGTTGACACTGTTGCTGACTTGGTCCTGGAACCCTCTTCAGAGGTGTGAGTTTGAATGGTCAGGGTACAGGTGGGTGCAGATCCCCATCCATTCAGTGAGCAACTGTGAGGTCTGCATGGCGCCGCCCGGTTCTGGTATTCAGTGATGGATGTGGCAGAAAGAGAAGTTTGTTGCCTGTAGGATATGACAGACAGATAGGAACTTAAAATACCTGATTTGTGATTTTGCTCTGGGAAAGTACTGTAGGAGTCAAAATGGGAGGCCTCAGACAGACCGGGTTGGAGAAGGTCCAGAGGTGATGGCATCCACATTGTCCTCTCACAGGTGTAGGTCAGGGAAGGGGCTCTGGGTGCTGACAATGAGTGTGAGCCACTGTGTGCAGAGTGGTGTGGACTGGGGTGCGCAGTGCGGGGTTAGAGGAGGAGGAGGTGGACACCTTGTCTGCACTGATCTGTGCACTTCCACCACAGGGCTCTGTGAGGGGAGGTGCAGGGGCTGGGGCTTAGCTCTGCTCAGGCCTCAGGCCAAGCCGGGTGGGGTTGTTCTGGAGAGATTAGATTAGCATATTAGATCAGATTAGATCTGATCAGATTAGATCCTAGAGCCTGTCGGAGAATTCGGGGGGGGGGGGAGGGGGGGTGTTGCAAGAGTGAGCAGGGGAGCCAACTCTCCACACACTCTGCTGCCGGCCACAGCCTCCCCAGGCTTAGACCCTAGAGCGTTCACACCTGCCTGTTCAGATTCCTGCCCATTTCATCTGGACACATGAGCCAYCAGACTCGAAGGACAAGGGAGTGGACTCTCCTTCCCTTTTCCACCTGGAACCCCCTGGCTGCAGTCTCCTCTGTGCCTGTCTCACTCGTGTTCTGCTGGGTACTCTAGGCCCCAGGACAGGTGCTTGCTGGGACAGTGTGACCTCGAGGCTCCGCAGCAGTTGTCACAGTGTGTCCGCCTCAAAATGGCTCCATCCCAGCCCTCTGCAGCCAGGTGGGAATCGCAGTGCACTTTCCAAACACCAGTTCAAGGTGAAGCTCTGGGTCAGCTGAGCTCGGGTTGCTTTCTGATCTCAGGTTTTCCGTGGCGCACCTTGCCTTGCTGGCCGTGTGTGCCTCCCTCTGCTGAGCCAGCGCTGCTGCCACAGCTGGCTGGGCTGCAGGGGACTCACCCTTCTGTGCTCAGCATACCCACGTTTCTGGGCTTCCACACTCAGACTGCCGAACACTGCAGTTTAGCCACATCCCCTTTTCTCCCACCTCCGTGGAGCAGCACCCACTGCCTGCGTGCCCAGCCTGGAGCACGGAGGGATCACAGGCCCAGGTTTTGATGTCAGCATCCCCAGTGACCTTTTCATTTCTAAATGCAGTGGCATTAATGAATGTAGAACGTAATTAGTAGTGAAGAAATTATGCATCCAAGAAATTCAGAGATTGTAACATAGGATTCATGATTTAATCCATATTTAATCCTACTTTCAGAAGGACTTGAAAACCAGAGAAAAATTCCTGCCTGAAAAGTGAAGCGTGTAAATCTCAGCATAAATGTGTAGCTGGTCCTGAACTCTGACATGTCACGCAAATACTATGGTACTGATGGGCAGTGTGACTCCACGGGAAGACCTCTGGGAGGATCTCTGTCAGTGCAGACTGAGAAGCGCAATGCAAACCTGAGCTTTCCCGGAATTGCACTTTTCCAATCTGTGTGGAAAATTAACTTGGAACTAAAAAATGGAGAACAGCTCCCCCCCCMMAAAAAAAATGTATGTTTCTGTAACAGACAAAGAGTCTCTGACACAGGGGAAGTGTGGCCTGCTTAGTCACAGATGGTCCAGAGACAGGGGGTCCCCCAGACAGGGTGTGCGGGGGAGAGTGGCCCACTCAGAAACACGGGGGCAGAGCGGCCTGCTCGGCATCAGCATGAAGGCACATGATTTTGTCTGGTTTTGTTGGTCCTGCGAAGCTTTCCCTGGGCAGCTGTCGGCAGAGCTCAGTCGACTGCGTAGCGGCCTCAGGGTGCTGGGGAGTAAGGGTGGTGCCACTGGGATGTGTCAGAACTGTGCTCAGGGGTCTGTTTTGCTGCAGGTAGAGAGGGTGGTCAGGTGTAGGTGTCCCAGGGAGACCTCAGGAAGGACACCAGGCGGCATATTTATTAGTGGGGAAACCCACCAGGCATCTGTGATAGAATGTAGAACGCCAGGAAACCCTTTACAAATAGCACCTGAACTATTTCACGTGACTTGGGCACCAGAGAGCTGTGTATCCTGGACACGTGGAGTGTTTGAATGGACACAGTTGACCACCAGGCTGTGGACACACATCACAGACCAGTAACTCAAGGTGATGAGGCTTGGGCTGAAACCGAGCCTAGAGTTGCAGATGGTGGCTCTTTCCCTTAGAAGGTGACTAACCCAGGATGTAGCTGAACTCCACTCAGAGCACGTTTCTTTGCCTTTACAAGTTGAGAACTAAGTTGAGCTGGAATGGAGCTTATTTCTTAGTGAAAAGCACAGTCTCTGCTTGGGGCTTTCAGCTGGGCTGGAAACTGCACCTGGGCCTTGGATGTGTGTTTCCCGTGTCCGTGGACGTCCATCCGAGCAGTGGGAGGACGTCTGGTGTGGATGGCTCGCTGATGAAGCGAAGCAGGTGGGATGCTGGCAGGGACTGTGGTGTGCGCAGAGGTGAGACTGCTCTGCTGGTGGAAGCCAGCTCGCTGTGTTCAGCTGTCTGGGCTGTGGCAGGAGCACTGAGGCACCTGTGGAGTTCTGTAAGAGGATCTTGGCTGTGTTTCACAGACTCGTCCCAGCTCTGGAGAGGATGCGCCGTGAGCCCTAGAGCGCAGGGTTCTTGTGGAATGAGACAGGCTGGCATGTGCATGCAGAGACCTACTGGACAGGCCACTGGTCAGGTTCCTACCTCCCCCCACATGTGGCCTGAGGGTCAGCGTGCCAGTGCTTCTGTGAGTCTGAGCCCCAGAAAGGTGTGCAGTGTGTTGTTCATCGTGTCCCTCCGGATGCAGCTCTCCCACCTCCCTGAGTGTGGATTATGCTCGTCTCTGAAGTCTGGCTTTTTAAGCCTCCTCCGTGCATTCAGGGGTTCGCTCCTCTCTCTCACAAGAGGAGTGCTCGTGTGCCACGTTTACGTCAGGATTCCTCGGCTCTGCTCTCGGGCCACCTGGCCCTCCAGTGTTGTAGAGTCCAGCTCCTGAGGCCCAGATTCCTAGAGCTGAGTGACATCTGCTTCTGCATTTTCTCTTGCCATTTTCCAAGCACATGGCTGGCTCATCTCAGGCTGCACTCACTGTTACTGTCTGGGGATGCTGGGTTTGTTGTCTCTGTTTAGCAAAGAATTGGGAGTCTGGTGGGGAGTTTTGGCCAGTTCTTTTTATGGTCTCTTTCCTTTCCTTATCTCCTCCCTGTCCATATTCTCCTCACTATTATTGATGGGTGCCTCTCTGTCCACGTGTCTGTTTTAGTTTTTCTATCCATCTCCCTGCTTAGGAGCGCAGGTACAGAAGTGTCTGTCTGGTTGGGACCCCGCCTGTCTCTGCGAGCACTTTCCTCAGGCAGAAAGTCGGCCTCATCAGAAGACCCTCTTGTGCTCCTTTGCTCTGGCCCTGCCGGACCTCCTCCCTGGCCACCCTGCTCTGGCCGCCTATGCCCCTGTGTCTCCCAGGTTGTAGGACTTGGTGCTGTAGTCTGTTTGCATAGCATTCGTGCAGTTTATGTACGATACTTGTCATTTGTTGAAGAGTTTGTATTTTATAAAACTTCGGGTCACTTCTCCCTCTTTCCTCCCCTGACCACATGGTGCTAATAAGCAGGGCTCCAGAAGACCCTCAGGGCCCTCACCTTGGCCTGCAGAAAGGGGCTCCTTTTCTTTGGCAGTAGTGCCTCCCTGGGAGGTGCCATCCTCATCGCTGGTCACCTGTGCGTTTGTGTCCTAGAGCTGCTGGGATAAAGTACCACAGACTGGGTCACAGCTCTGGAGGCCAGAAATGCAGAAGGAAGGTGCAGCCAGGCCAGCTGCTCGGAGGCTGTCGGGATGGCTCTCCTGACCTTGGCAACGGGGCATGTTGGCAGTCTCTGCCTCTGCCGTCACATGGACATATTCTCCCCCGGTGTCTCTCTGTCTTCTTAAGGGGACACAAACTGGACTAGGGCCCCCTTGCATCCTCACCTGGCATGACAGAGGGAGCGGTTCTGGCGTGTGCGTGGCCGCTCTTACTGCATCGTGTCTGTTCTGCTCCTGCACTGCTCTCTGAAGGAGGAGCAGCGCTGAGTTCTCGCACGGCTGCCTGCGTGACAGATCTGCGTCTGGCAGCTAAGTGAGGGCCTGTGGAGAGGCAGCACAGGTGTGTGCAGCTGTCCTCTCACAGCCATTCTGCTGGTGGCCCCACCTGGCTCAGTATCACGTGCATTAGTGTGACACTGTTCTGGCATGATTTTGAGCAGGAAGTTAAAAGTGCAAGCAGAGAGCTTTACTCCATGGTGACCTTTCAGCCTTGTGACAGTGTCTTCAGTTTCATAGGAAGTACAGAGGTCTGCTGCACCTTGACACCTTCAGAGGCCATCTTCCTTGCAGGTGACATGGTCCCCCAGTCCTTAAAGAAGTTCATTTTTTTTGTCTCCAAATAGCTGGGGAGTAGTTAGTGTCCTGTGCATAGCCGACAGGCTGCTATGAAGAGGCTGTCCACTAGCTATGCTTAGTCATGGCACTGCATTTTTATAACTCCAGCCGTGTGTGGTCTATCTGGTTCCCTTCCCACCAGGCCCTTCTGTCTGGAGGAGAGATGCACTACTCGAGCAGGCGCCCCATCCTGTTGTGTTTTCCGAGCTCAGAAATGGACGATGGGAGGTGGTTTCCTGCTATAGGATTGGTTGCTAAAGCTGGGGCCTTGTTAAAACCATCGGCTAACTGTCCTGGATGCCCCTTGTGATCACACTGTCTTCTCTGCAGAGCTCTCTGGGGTGCTGCATCAGTGTCACATTCTGGCCTCGGAGATGGTGCACTTCATTCATCAAATGCAGTATTATATCACATTCGAGGTATGCTGACTGTAGTCTGAATTAGTAATGCAGACTCCTGCAACAGGAAGAACCTGGCATATCCAAAAGCCTGAACTTGTCATTTGCAGGTGCTGGAATGCTCCTGGGACGAGCTTTGGAACCGAGTCCAGCAGGCCCAGGACTTGGACCACATCATTGCAGCGCACGAGGCCTTCCTGGACACCATTACCTCCCGCTGCCTGCTGGACAGTGGCTCCAGGGTAAGGCTAACTGACAGGCCCCAGGAGGATAGCAGGTGCTAGACGGATCACCTTAGAATCATATGGCCCCGCCACGTCGTCGGCAGCAATTCAGTGATGTTAGAGGCTCACTGTTTCTAAACAGAATAGGAAGAGAGTGGGTGGAAGAAGAGCAGGCTGTGACGTGCCTGAGGCGGGTGGAGCATGGCGAGCAGGCTGACCCCTGTGTGGTCCAGAAGGAGACGTGTCCTGAGCCATGCTCCGTTGTGGGAACACACGGTAGACCACACAAGGCGCCGAGAGAACAGATGGCCAGTGGCGTGTGCCCAAGTCCCAGACAGTGTGCAAAGGAAGCAGGAGCCTTTGCGTTAGGGTGCTGCTTCTCTCTCTTGTCTGTTGCAGTGCTGGGTGGACCAGTGCCCTTGACGTGGAGGCCAGTGCTGCGCTGTGGAGCCACCTCCCAGCTGTGTCACTGTCAGTCCAGGGACAGTGGTCTCACATGGGCTTTCACTGAGCCAGTGTCTGGCTTCATGCATTGAACAGACTGCCTGACGAGGGCCCTGCATTCCCACGGCCTTAAGCTTTTGCAAGCTGTCTTCTCCGGGGGGCTCCTGTTCTGGGGTGGCATGTTCCCTGCAGCAGGTCTCTCTGGAGGTCTGGTTTCACTCGGGCCTGGGCAAGGAAGAGCATGCTGCTTTCCCTGCAGCAGATGAGCTGCACAGGCCCGAAGCCTCGGTGCCTTTCTTAGGTTAAGTGGCCTCTTTGGCACCATCACAGATAGCCGAGGGTTGCTCCCAGAGCCTTTGTGCTCACCTCAAGGTCCTGCTGTGGGGACGTCCTGCTTTACAGCTCTCATTTTACCTGGACATCCTAGTGTCTAGATTAGACAAGCATAGCTGAGAAGACAGGGTTTTGATAACACTAAGCTTCACTACTAAACAACTATTGATCACATACCTAAAACATGCCGAGCCCAAAGAGTCTTCTGTAAACAGTGTCTTAGAAACATTCAAGTAACAACAAAGGTAGTCTAAAGTACTTGGAATATACCTAGTAATTCAAAGCGTGTTATTCCAAAGGGTTGCTGGCTTTGTGACCCCTTTTACCATCATGAGACCTATTCTGTTGGGCTGAGACTGTAGTGGGTTTTGGGCTGTCGGGCGGTGTGTGTGTGTTGTCTAGAGGGTGTTGGGAACACCCTCAGCACATGGCCCGCTACGTGGCTGTGGCTGTGGCTGGAGAGCATGCAGTGCCGCGGGAGGCCTTGCTGCCGTGTGCCTCAGTCACGAGCACTATTAGCAGGCCAGGTGGCCACAGTCAGACAGATGAACAGCTCTGCCAGGGACAGGCCAGGGCTGGACTTCCACTGCATTGCTCGACTGTGGCGCTCTCCCGGTTTAAATGGCATACTGGTTCTCTTCAGCAGATGTGCAAGAGTGAAGTTATGTGATCTATGTGGAATGTTCATCATAGTGACTGGCACACGGTTGTTGGCTGCTACTTGAAAGTGATCAAAAGCCACATTGTGTGCACATGTGCAAGCATGTTTTAAAAAGGTATTTACCATCACTAGGTCTAATGCTTCTGTTGGATTGGTGTGAGAATTTGAGAGAATTTGCATGGAGAGCTTGATACTTCATCAGATTAGTACTCAGTTGCTATGACAAAATACCTGAGGGGGTGACTTTAAAGAAAAGAGGTTCATTTAGCTTTGGGTTCTGGAAGTCTGAGAGCATGGCACCTGGTTGGGCTTGGCTTCTGGTGAGGGCCACATGCAACTTCAGTTCCTGGCAGGAACTGCAAGGGCAAGTGGTGTGTGTGGAAGAGAGGGACGTGAGAGCTGACCTGCTTCATAAGAGCCTGCTCCTGCTACGATGAGTCTGGTCTCAGGGGAGACAGCAATCCCTCTAATGGCCTGGGCCTCTCTTAAAGGCCCCCAGAATTTTACACTGACAGGTTGGGGACCAGGTCTCCAACACTTGCATTTTGGGGGGCAAGCCATCTTCAAACCATAGAAGTTTTTTTTTTTTAAATTTTTTTTAAACTGTAAGTGGACTTTATTTATTTATATGTGGTCCTGAGAATGGAACCCAGTGCCTCGCACATGCTAGGCCTGCACTGTACCATTGAGCACAGCTCCAGCCCAAACCGTAGATGATTTTAAGTGCAGAAGTAGTGTTTTGCCAGTACCTCATGCAGTGCTGATCAGTAGTAGGTATTTGGTGAACGAACACTTGGAGAGTTTGGGCTGACTTACTTGATAGTATTGTCTTGGTCCATCTTCTGTTGCTGTAATAGAAAACCTGAAATGGGATGATTTATAAAGAATGGAGGTTTGTTTTGGCCCATGATTCTGGAGGCTGCAAGTCCAGTGGCATGGTGCTCACATCTCTTTTACATCTGGTGAGGGGCTCGTGCCGTGTTGCAACCTGGTGCAAGAGCAGCTCAAGTGGGCACGGGTGGGAGGGACAGAACACGAGGGGTGTGCTTGGTTCAGGACAACTCAGGCCTGTGGGAGTGGGTGCTCAGTCCTGTAACACACCTCCAGTTCCTACAGAGCAGCACGGTCCTTTCCTTGTGTGACCTCAGGACCAAGCGCCTCTCACAGCCCCTCCACCTGCAGCACTGCTAGGCTGGGGACCAGATTTCAGCGTGAGTTGTAGAGGGGACAGACCACATCCAAACCAAGTGTCCTTCTGTCTCACTAGAGATTCAGGAAGCTTAGCAGCACGTCAATGTTCTTGTGATTTAAAAAAAAAAAAAATGGTCATATCTTTTTAGGTACTTTTAAACCAACTCAGAGCTGTGTTTGACCAGATTATTGAGCTTCAGAATGCTCAAGATGCAATATACAGGGCTGCCCTGGAAGAACTGCAGAGACGATTACAGTTTGAAGAGAAAAAGAAGCAGCATGAAATTGAGGTATGGTTTTCATACTAGGGGGTTTTCAGTCCAGTGATGAGCTAACTTCTTGCCACAGTAGACCCAAGTGGCAGCAAGGACCTTTCCTGTTGTGAACGTGGATGTAAGAACCCAAAGTATCATCAAACTGTGACATGTGAAAAGGAAAACGGGTTCTGCCACGTTTCGGCACAGTCCCAGGGTACAAAGCTCTTTGCATCTTTCTAATAAAAACATTATGGTTCCCATTTACAAATGAATGAGAAAAATCCTTTAATTCCAAGCAAATCTGACAAAGCATTTGCATGGGAAATCTGCAGCAGAACATTGTGCTCGACAGTGAGGTCTGGGGACCTTCCCAGAGACCTCGGGTCCAGGGCTGTTGCTGTGTTGCACTGAGGTCCTCCAGCACTGAGCTGAGGAAGGGAGCACACAGGGAGAAAAGCTACCTTCTTTTTGCCGAAGCTGGTTTGGGAGCTCAGAAGTCTGAGAGGATTTTCAGGTGAGTCACTGAAGTGAACAAGTGCCTCTGTCGGGGTGGCTGGGAACAAGGTCAGCCTGCAGCAGCCCATTCATTTCCTTCAGCAGCAATGGAGTCCTCCACAGAATGCCTTTAAAGGATTCTGAGATGCTGCACGTCTGTGGAAGCCCCATGGACACATCACAGATAGCAGGCCAGCCGAGGTGTGCCGGCCCCTGTGGCTGTCCCTGTGCTGAGAAGTGACCCTTGACAGCCGAGTGGTTGTAGCAGGGAGCCCGTGGCCCGGGCCTTAGAGTGCCAGGAAGAGGCACCGTGCCTTCTGCTGTGTGGCACCTTAAGAGGCAGCAAAGGGCCCAGTGGGGAGCGGCCTGTGCAGTGGAGAATTGGACACAGGTGGCCCAGTGCCTTTTCTGACCCCAGGACTGTGGCTTTGCCTTGTCTTTGTGATGATATTGATTAATTAATTCCAAGATATATGTGGAAATAAGACTTAAGGAAGGGTCAACTGAACAGGGGTTGGCATGAGTGATTGAGGACACTCACACAGCTGTCCCCGCATCTACAGACTCGGCCTTCTGCAGGTCGGAAATGTTTGCACCGGTACTCCACACGACAGCCTTCTTTCCTTGTCATATCCCTGAGACAATGCAGTGTGACCACTGTGTGCTTAGCACGTACATGGTGTCAGGTGCTGTAAGTGTCCAGAGACAGTTCAGAGTGCGGTGAGGTGTGTGCGTGTCCTGTGTGAGCACTGCCCTCTTGTAAAGACTCGAGCATCTGTGGATTTTGGTGTCCACTAGGCTCCTGGCACTGTCCCCATGGTTATGGATGGATGAGTGTATACTCAAGACTTACAATGAGGTTATGGTAATTAAAAGAATGATACCGGCTGGAGGAAAGATCAGTGGAGCAGAATCATCCAGAAATGGCCCCATGTGTCCAGAGGTGGCACGGAGAAGAGCAGGCAGGGGCATGAGTCGGCAGCGTCAGGGAGCTCCGTGACCTTCCTGTGCTCGCACACACAGGAGCCAGGACAGGGTTTTACACCTCAGTGCAGAGGTGAGGTACTAGAGCTTCAGAGGGCATCAAGTATCAGCGTGACCGTGAGGGTAGGAGACCTTTCAGTTGGGTAAGTATAAAAGAAGTTAAGTTGATCTTACATCCCAGTTAGTAACATCTGTCATCATCAGCATGTAACATCAGCACATACCGCCAGCTCAGCTGGAGAAGCTGTGTGCATGCACACAGGTGTCAGCTCATCCAGAATGCGTGAGTGCAGCTGCAAGTCCATGCGACGACCCCAGGAACCATGTGCCTTCAATTGATGAGAAGTATCCGTGTTAACCACCAGTAACTCAAGACTAAACCCCAGTCATCTGTACTGCACCAGGCAGAATGGCTGACCTTGTTTTTGTTTCCTGAGCTTTTCTTTTTCCTACCTTTTTTATTGGAGCATTGTAGCTGTGCATGATGGTGGGGTTTGTTCCTACGTACTCATATGTGCACACAAAAGGCCAACGCTTTGAAGACTGACAGTGTCCACTGTGGGTAGGTGGAGCCAGTGAGAACTTGGCACTGCTGGTGGAGGGTAGGTTGGAGCAAACACTCTGGGATGCGTGGGCAGTGATGTATGCTGGGGCCTGTGAGCATCTGGTCCATCGTCTCACTCCTGGGGGACCCCTGCAGCTCTGCAGCTGCTGGTCCCCATCCCGCTGGGTGAGGCCACATGTGTGCATCTCCATGTGATGAGGAGGCTGTAGGCTGTTCATGTATGAGCTCTGTACGTCTTTTTATGCTTTCTGCTGCAGCAAAGGAGCATGTTTATATTTTAGTGTAGGGTCTAGAGTACTCCTCCATGTAAATTACTAAAAAGAGATGAGTTCAGTAATGCCTGTACATTGCTGGTTGAAAAGGCATTTATTTAAGTCACCACTGATTGGAAATTACCTTTTTAAAAATAGAAGTAGGTGGAAATGTCTCTAGTAGAATTGCCTCAATCTCAGGAATGAATTAAGCCTGTCCTAAGGGACATGGCGGTGCCCGCCTGGGGTCCACTCTCACCTGTGTTGTCAGAAGGATGTCAGACTGTATGCATCTGTAGTCGGGAAGGACGGGCAGCTTGGGTGAATCACACAGGTTGTTGCCTGCTGTACAGTGTGATACTGTAGGTACTAAAAGCAAGTATTTCTCAAGAAATTAAATTTGGTGATTTTGATTCTTCAGGGTCAGTGGGGAGTGACGGCAGTGGAGGAAGAGGAGGAGAATAGGAGGATCCGAGAATTTCAAGACTCTGTACCAAAAATGTGTTCACAGTTGCAAATATTGACGCACTTCTACCAGGTGGGTGTTAGCATTTCCTGTGACAGAAATTTCTCTTGCTTTCAAAGAACTGGTTCCCTCCGAATGGCTCTGGTTTGTATAGATGTGAGTGGTGGCCAGGATGGAGCCCCAGGGGCCCAGGGGCCTACTGGGAGACAGGTCTGAATGGGCTCCTATGGGACAGCCTCGACAAGAAGCCCAACAGGGAGGTTGGCGCTCGGGGCCTGTGGGCTGGTGCCAGACTGCAGAGAGGGCTGTTTCCAGCCTGCTGACACCACACCAGACCACGGGGCCAGTAGAGGAGCTGTCCAGGCCCAGAGCAGGTGCGCCTGTGCTGGATGGTGCTGGGCTCAAGATCCCTTCTCCACCCGGGCCGGTTGCCTGCTTCCTAAAAGTGGACACCTGTGACTAACTCTGTGCTGCTAAAACAAGATAGTTGTGTAGCCACAGAGTAGTACTGTATGATCTAAAGAATTGGGCCAATTGCCCGCTTCAGAGAGAGAGTGGTCTAGTTTATGGTTACATATTTCCCTGATGGAGTTGATATAGATCTTAAAGAGTAATCTTGATTAGTCTAATCCCGATTTTGTTGAAATCTTGATAAATCATTACCATTCGAATTCCTTGACAGCAAAAGACCGTTTCTCCGCTCTGGCGTACTGAGACGGTTGGGTGTTAGGTGCTGCTTGTCACAGGAAGCCAGTCTATATCATTCTAGTGGCTTTCCTGTCACCTACACAGACACTGGAAACTTGAGCATGCTGCAGGGAGTGTGTGCCCCAGGTGGGTCCTGTGTGGGTCCGAGTGCCTGCGCCTGCCACTCCAGCCCGTCAGAGGGGTGGCCACAGAGAAGACTGTAGGGTGGCGAGGCCTGGTGCCTGTGTCTTTCCTGTGGAAGGCTCTTCCAAGACAGCTGAAGCCACACAGGTGAAGAGCAGCCCCTTACAGATAGCTTGTGCTGGTGGTGTAGTCACAGTGGAGCCGCACAGGACCCTGTGACCCTGAGCAGGCGGCTGCTTGTATTAGACTATGGGACAGCTCGCGTCCCGTTGCGGCCTCTTTACAAAGCTCCTTGGCAGAGGAGATGGCGTGTCCCGCCATGACCTCCAGTGGAGCCTGCTCTCCGGCCCCTGTCCGGGTCAGCTTGCATGTTTCCAGCCTGTGTCCCCTCAGAGCTCTGGGTGGACGTGCTTGCAGCCTCGCCTGGGGAGTGAAAAGCCAGCACGGGTTCAGATTCACAGCTTCTACAGGATTTTGTTTATTTTTGTACAACTTCAGGACCGAAAGGAAAAGTCTGTTAGTTTTTGCTTTGCTAATTGTGTTTGTAAACTGAGCTCCGGGTGCTGTGGCATTGGCGGAGCCAGCTCCAGGTTCCAGCCCCAGGTCCCTGAGGCCTGCTGAGGGTACATTGCAGGCTCTTGGCAGAAGGAAGAACCAGCCTAGGGGCCTGGAGGGGTCAGGAGCTGGTGGGTGGTTCGCTTCTAAACGAGTGTCCACTGCTGTTGTCTCTCCAGGGCATCGTGCAGCAGTTCCTGGTGTTACTGACCACCAGCTCTGACGAAAGTCTCCGGTTTCTCAGCTTCAGGTTGGACTTCAACGAGCATTATAAAGCCAGAGAGCCCAGACTCCGCGTGTCTCTGGGCACCAGAGGGCGGCGCAGTTCTCACATGTGACGGGCGCCTTCTCCCGAGGAGCTGCGCAGGTTGCTGTGGTCAGCGCTGAGATTCAGTTCACATTCTGGGCCCTCCGGGCAGCTGGGAGGAGGCCCTGTGTTTGTGGCAGGGTGGCTGGCGGAGTGGGTTTTGTGCTGCAGTTGAGTGCGAGGTCGCTGGGTCGAAGAGGCTGGCTGGCGCTGTCTTCCCACTCAGAAGATGCCGGGGTGTTTTGGGCTGCCGAAGCTCTCTGTGTCGTTTATATTTGTCACTTTTTTAGAAACTTGTGTTTCTTTTAGCACAAGGGCAGTGCTGTATTCATGAATTGAGATGGTAATGTCAATGCTATTTTTTTAACATCCTCTTTAGAGGCGATTTTTGTTATCATAATGAAATTAAACTGAAAARAAAGACGTCCCTACTAAGATAATACACAGAGCATTTGTTTTGGTTTTAGTGCTGTGACATACTGACCCGTGAGAGCATTTGTGTCTTAACGCGTTGCCTTCACATATGTCTGTTCTGACTTTTTCTTCCAAAGTTACATTTTTATATTTAGTTTACTATTTCAGATAACTTCTAAAACAGTACAGAAACAAGTAGGCACGATATAGAACAGAGACCTCAAACAGTGCAGCCAGATTGCTCAAAACTGTCAGCTGAAGCAGTGTGTAGATACAAATAACTCCAAAGTAAGAATTTTATTTTCAGAATCCTGACAAGCATTGGAAAGAAATCGACTTGGATAATGAAGGTTTCCTTTTCCCTTGCCTATTTTTTCATTGTAAATATTTATATACCACTGACCAGATGTTGGGGGGAACTGTTTTTGTAAAAATGTCATATCAGGTCACATAAATCTGCCTTTTTTATGTTGCATAAATGAAAACTTAGAGAATTAAAGGCAACCATCTTTCAGACGCACTGCTTGTCTCTTAGTAGTCTGTGAAGAGATGGTCCCTTGCCAGGCCTGGGGTGGGGGTTGAATTGGATTTAACATGATGCAGCATAGGAATTATTTAATTTTTGAAACCAAGAAATCAGGCTGTGTGCGACTTCCAGTGCAGAACCTAAGGGACCCCCACTCCCTGCTGAGTGAGGAGTCCTCAGCCGATAGCCACCTCTGTCACTCAGGAGGTGCGAAGCTCAGTCCCAGAGTGGAGTGGCCCCTGGCGAGTGTCCCCAGGGCCTGCCTGCCTGTGCTCCAGTTAGCTCCCAGGCTGCTCCAGTTTGGTTTAAGCGTGGTTATGATAATCTGCTGTTTTTCCTGTCCAGCTCAGGTGTGGCTGCCACTGTTGGAAGTATGGTGTCACTTGTGGTATTCATACGCTCCAGTGGACGCATGGACATTAGGAGGACGTGTAGAGGGGCTGAGGATGTGCAGGCTGGAGGGAACCCTGGATCAGACAGCGCACTCAGGTGTGGATGGTTGGCAGGGCCTATGGGTTCAGCTTGGCGGGAGGGGAGAAGGGGCAGCTGGCCAGATGAGCATCACGTCAGGGATATCACCATCTTGCTCTGGTGTTGGTGCTGGTGCCCTGCTGTAAGGTGGCCTGGGCAGCCTTTGGACTGCTCTGCTTTGCTCTCCCAGGCTCTGGCATGTGCTGGTGTGGTTTCCGCATCCATGCCCCTGTGGCCTTCCCAGTGTCCACGGTGAGCTGCGCCCCTTTCCTTCTTGTACTCTTGTCTGTACTCGCTCTTCCTCTCCCTGCCCGGGTGGTGGTGTGGCTCCAGGCACAGCTCACTTGCTCCTGCTCTTCTGCAAGGTGCAGATTCCCTGCAGAACACGCCTCGTGGTGGCTGTGTGACAGGTGAGTGCTCGTGGGGTCGGCTCATTGTCAGCCTGTCCCTGACCACACCCCCTGGCTGTGACCCAGCCACGCTGTCCACGGGGCACTGTCAGGGTCTTCGACTCATGTGTGGTTCTGTCCTGTCAGGTTTTCTCCTGACTATGGATATTGTTTCAGCTTCAGAATTTCTGGGAATTTAGCTTTTTTCCTTTTCCTTTTTGAAAAAGAATAAAAGAAAAACAAAGGGGAGTTGGCTGCACCGTGTGCCAGCATGTTGGGACTGTGGTATGTAAAGGGCGCTAGACAGGAGTCGGAAGAGCCCGCCCTCAGTGGATGGAGCAGTGCCGTGGTGCTGGCTCACGGAGGCTCCGTGTCGGAAGAAGACCCACCTCGGAGGTGTGACATGTTTGGTTCCCAGTTCAGGTGCTTTGGAGTACATGGTTTTGGGCAAACATTTGAAAAAAATTAAGAGCTTTAATTCATATCCCAGGAAAAATTCAGATGGCTTGAATGGTTTAAAGGTGAAAGTAAAACATTAAGGCTGCCAGGAAAGTGCAGTCTCTGTAACCCTAGGGCGCCTAACACGCGAGCAGCATCCTCTAGGACGGACCTGTGAAGGGAGGGCTGTCAGAGGTGACAGTGAGAAGCAGCAGTACAGTGGTTGAGACAGACACAGCCTGGGAGCCTGGTTGCTGGTAACAAGGTCTGTGTCCTAGTGGCAGCTGGCCCTGGGAATGACTGGAATAAAAAGCGAGTCCAGGCACGCCACACGCACAGAGGAGGAGCTCGGGACTCGTGCACGTGGAGACCCAGGAAAGGTGTGCGAGGCTGCCTCCCAGGCAGGGCGCTGGCCACCTACAGCGTCACCCCCTGCATGTTGCCCCACGCCAGCGCCTGATTCAGTGAGGGCACATCTGTCACCCAGGCGTCCTGGAGATGCCTGCCCCCCATGCTGCCCGTGGCATCCCAGCTCCAGGCAGCCCCTCTGGTCTCCTATTTTCTAGAATTCCACTAGTGCTGTGTCTGTGCCTGTGTCTGGCCTCTCAGTAACCACAGGTCAGTCTTGAGGTTCACTCTCTGCTGTTGCCTGGGAGAGCCAGTTCTGCTCCTTACCTGAGTCGTCCCCGGGATCAGCACAGCTGGCTGGCCATTTGCCTGTTGACCATTGAATGTTCCCGTGTTTTAATCTTGCAGTGAAGGTGCCGAATGGTTGGTCCCCTGGGCTGCATGTGTGGTGCCAGTCCCTGGGGATATGGTGGTCAGTGCAGGAGGCGCTGGACTGCTGAGTTCTCCGTGCAAGGCTCGGTTGCTCCTGGTGCTTTTCCCCGGGGGGTGTTCTCGTCTGTGGGGGTGTTAGGTGGCTGTAGCTCACGTTGCCCTGAGCGTGTGGGAGTTGAACACCATGGGCAGCCTCTGTCAGGAGCCTTGGCCTGTGTATTTATTAGGTTGTTTTCCTCCTGAGTTTCCACAATCTGTTATGTGTCTGGGCAAAAGACTTCTATCAGATAATTGCTTTGCAAATCTTTCCTCCCAGTGTGGCATATGTATTCATGTGTGTAGACATGCATGTACACATCCACACGTCCACATACAGACACACACGAGTGTACCTGTGTATGTTATCTATGCTCATCCTCATGGAGTCTTTGTTTACGTCCATGGCGAGCACAGCATCTCTCAAGTTGCAGCTTGTAGGATTGGACAGTCCAGACTGATGCTGCAGGTGCCCACCTTGAGCAGAGGTGCTATGCTTGCCTGTGTTGGACCCACAGGGCCTCCTGGGGCAGCGTGGTCCACAGGGTGCAAGGCCTGGCCATGCTCAGAGGTCGCCGCTGCCAGTCTCTGGGTCTGTGTCCATCGGGGGCTGTGGAGCACTTGAAATGTGCCCATTCTGGACTGAAGAGTGTGGAGTGGGAGACACACTCCAAATTTCAGACTGTGTAGTTAGTATGAAGGAGGAATGTGAAACGTTCCCATGTTTTATTCACATGGATTACATGTTGAAGTGATAATATTTTGTATATATTTGGCTAAATAAAATATATTGTTGAAATTTTGCCTGTTCCTCCTCCTCTTTTTAATGTGGGTCCTGGCGATCTCACAGCTGTGGTACCCGCTCTGATTCTGTTGGATGGTGCCTTTCACAGGGGCCTGTTTCCTCCTGGAACCTTCTGGGCCCCACTTCATGTGGGGTGTGGGGTCTCCCTGGGCTCTGGTATTCCTCTGCTCTGGCAGCAGGTGGACCGTCAGGTGTGTCRTGGAACACCCCAGCTGGGCGTCGCATGATGCTGTTCCCATGGAGGACGGGATGTGGGTCCTGGGAAGAGAGTGCGTGTGTCTGGCCTCTCACTAGGTGGGTGCAGGGTGTGCAGCTGGGGGCCTCATGCTCCACTGGGCTGCCCCTGACGAGGGGTCCCTACACTGCCACGTGGGCTGAGGCTGCATGTGGAGTGCAGTGCCCGCCCCCAGCTGCTTGGGCTTTGCCTTTGGGGAGATGGGTGCCTTCTCCCGCGCACACCTGGTTCTTGAAAGAGTGGATGTTTATTTTATACCCTGGGTCTAGGCCACACCTACATGCTTTGCTTCAGAGATTGTTCTCGGGTGATGTTCTTGACTGTTTTGAGCGTCTGTCTTACAGGGAATTGGTCCATTTCATCTGAGTTGTTGGATTTATGGGCATTGTGTTGATAGTATTTCCTTATCTTCTCAATAACAGTAGAATCTGTAATGATGCTACTGCTTTCATTTTTCCCCACAGTTTTTATTGGTGCATTAGGGTCGTAGAAGCTGATGAGACGTGGTACACACCGCACGGTGCACAACATGACAACAGAGTCTAGCCACTCCCCAGCACGTCCCCCTCTGCCTCCCTCCGCCTGCTCCCCTTCTCTTCATGTCCAGTTGTTTCCCTCACTGTGCAGAAGCTTTTTAATGAGATGCATTAACTTGGGGCATTATTTCTTGAGTGTTAGGGTCTGACTGAAAAAGTCCTTGCCTGGGCCTGAAAGCTGGAGGGCTGACCCTGCCTTTTCTTCTGGGAGCTGCATGCCTTCTGGTCTACCTGAGGCCTTTGATCCACTCTGGGTTGATTTTGGGCAGGGTGAGAGAGATGCATCTGATTTCGGCCTTCGACACGTGGAAAACCAGTTTTCCCAGCACCTTTGGTTAAAAAGGCTGTCTTTCCCCAGGGCTGTTTTGGGCACCCGTGTCAAGGTCAGATGCCTTCCCCTGCACCGCGGTCTCTGTGCACCATCACACTCCTGTGTCCGCCGTGTTGGTCCCTGTAGCTCTGTCGCATCCTTTGAAGTCGGGTGTGGTGATGCTTCCAGCATTGCCTTTTTTTTTTTTTTTTGCTTACAATTGCTTTGTCTGTTCTGGGTGTTTTGTTCTTCGAAATGAATTTCAGGACTGTTTTTTCTAGTTCTGTGAAGAACGTCATTTGGCATTTTGACGGGGATATTGCTTTTGGTAGCGTGGCCATTTCAACTATTAATTCTGCCTATCCATGGACTTGGGATGCAAGGGAGCTTCATCTTCTTGTGCCTTCTTCAGTTTCTTTCTTCAGTGTTCTTGGTTTGATTTATTCCTAGATACTCTATTTTTTTTTTTTTGAGGCAGTTGTGATTGGAATTGTTTTTGTGATTTCTTTCTCAGCAGATTCATTGTTGGTATGTAGGGAAGTTATTGATATCTGTATGTTGATTTTCATAACCTGCTACTTTGCCACATTTGTTCATTGGGTCTAGCCGTCCTTTGGTGGGGTGTTCGGACTGTCTGTATATGTGCACATCGTCAGCAAAATAGTGCTGATATACTGACTCCTTTCCTGTGTTCATCCCTTTTCTTTCCTTCTCTCGCCTAATTGCTCTGGCTAGAATTTCTAGCACTCTATTAAGTAGGAGTGGTGAGAGTGGGCATCCTTGTCTTGTTTGAGTTTTAAAGGAAATGCTTTCAGGTTTTCCCCATTTATTGTGAAGTTGGCTTTCACTTTTTTATATATGACCTTGATGATGTTGAGGTAGGTTCCTTCTATCCCTCGTTTCTTCAGAGATTTTATCATAAATGGGTGCTGAATTTTGTTGAAGGACTTATCTGCATCTATTGAGATAACTAAATGATTCTTGTCCTTAGTTCTCTTTATGTATTGAATTACATTTATTGATTTTTTTAAAATTTATTTTTATATGGTGCTGAGGATCGAACCCAGGGTCTCTCACTTGATAGGCAAGCAATCTACCTCTGAGCCACAACCCCAATCCCACATTTATTGATTTTCAAATGTTAAATCATCCTTGCACCTCTGGAATAAAACCAACTAGGCTGTGGTGTATAATCTTCTTATGTTGCTCAATCAACATGGTTTGCTGATATTTTACTAAGTATTTTTGCATCATCAGAGACATTGGTCTGTAGTTTTCTTTCTTCTGTGTGTTCTCATCTGGTTTGGGTATCAGTGTGATACTAGCTTCATAGAATGAATGTGAACATGTTCCGTCCCTTTCTGGTTCATGGACTGATTTCAGGAGTATCATCATTAGTTCTGCTGTAAAGATCTGGTAGAGTTCAACTGAGAATCCATCTGATCCTGGCCTTTTCTTTGTTGGAAGACTTTTTATTACTGCTTGTATCTCATTGCTAATCATTGGTCTGTCTAGGTTTTTTATGCCCTCTTGATTCCATTTTGCCTGGTTGTGTGTGTCTAGAAATGTATTTATTTCTTCTAGGTTTTCCAATTTATTGAAATATAAGTTTTCAAAACAATCCCTGATGATCTGCTGGATTCCTGAGATGTCTGTGCTGATTTCTCCTTTTTCATCTCTACTTTTATTAATTTGGTTTTTCTCTCTCTTTCTTTTGGTTAGTTTGGTTAAGGGCTTATCAGTCTTGTTTATCTATTCAAAGAACCAACTCTGTATTTCATCAGTCCTTTGTTTTTGGGTGGTGCTGGGGATTGAACCCAGGGCCTTGTGCATGCGAGGCAAGCACTCTATCAACTAAGCTGTATCCCCAGCCCTTTCATCAATCCTTTGTATTTTTTTTATCAGGTTCATTGATTTGGGCTCTGATTTTAGTTATTTCCTTTCTTCTGTGGTTTTGGAATTGGTTTGTTCTCCCTTTTCAAGAACTTGAGATACATCGTCAGGTTGTTTAGTTGGGATCTTTCTGGTTCTCTTATGTAGGCACTTGGAGCTAAAAACTCTTCTCTGAGAACGGCCTTCATAGTGTACCAGAGTATGTTGTGTCACTATTTTCATTTGTGTCCGAAAATTTTTAAATTTCTCCCTCGATTTCTTTTATCACTCATTCATCATTCAGAAGTGTATTGTTCAATATCCATGTGTGTATGTAGATTTTGTAACATTTTGCTGTGTTGATTTCTAATTTCATCCCATTGTGGTCCAATTAGATGCAAGGAATTATATCTTTTCTTTTTTTTCATTTGCTTTGTGGC